GTGTAGTAAAGGTGTGTATCGAAGCTCGTTGAAAGATGGCGACCCGCAAGCTCAGCTGCGGCTTTCAGCATTGACAGGAAGGACAAGCAGGAACCACTACCGGTGAAATGTCTACAGAGCATTACTAAGTGGCTAAAACAAACCATAATAAGCTTTCTGGAAGTACGCTTATTTAATTCGCTTGGAAGGACAATACATACAAGATACAAAGAAACATTTCAGTAAAATGAATTTGCCTTATCTAAGGAACTTTCAAGCAGACCATTTTGGTCATAAAAAAGTAAGGAAAGAAGAAAAATCAAGGAAACGAAAGGCTGGGATGTCAACCAGGAGGACTGGTATGCTAACCTACAGAGGGGATAGGGGTGGGGGAGCTTGTGCATAGTCATTCGCTCCTACATCATGGGTGTCGATACCAATTTGCGAATGAATCGAAGTATCTTAACATACAATCGGCAAGTATTGTACCAGATAAAAGTTTCGCCCTGTTATCTGTTCATCGTCTTTACAACAAAAAGAGAGATCAAACAGGTGCTCACGCAACGCGGGCAAGAGTCAGGCGAAACATCTGCCACCTATATTGAGTTAGGTACGAAGCCCTGTAGGCAATGGGACTGGGAAATGTCCGAGGAAAAAAAATCATACGATATTCACGGAAGGCATGTGATACATTAGACGAATCATTGTTCAGTTCGTGCTCCGTCTATGCGACCATTCGTGCGTCCGTTCATCTTTGCTTCCATCCGTCCGTCCGTCGGTACGTTCGTCCGTCCCTGCGTTCACGTGTTCGTGCGTCCATCCATGCGTCCATCCATCCGTTCGTCCATCTGTGCATCCGTCCGTATGCTCGTCCTTCCGTCCATCCAACCGTTTACGCGTCTGTCCGTCTATTCATTTATGCACCTGTGTGTCTCTCTGTCCATGCATCTGTCAATCCGTCCGTCCTTCTAGTGAACACTCCAAGTACCGCCAGCTTGTATCTTTTCATCATATATTTATCATATAGAAGTACAGCTATCCAGCAGCCATTCCAAGGACTAAACGAGAAGTGGCACGTTCGGGCTAGAAGAGCGTCATTTGCGCTTTCCTATGGCTTGCGCTTCGTGTCTAGTTCCTACCTTGTGCCGCCTCCAGTTCATGGAACTGCGGTCCAACACTCGCTAAACCTTGCTAAAACCAAGGAAGTTACGCCAAGCGAGTCTAATGTGGCAACCCTTTCTGGTCAGATTGTGCTCAAAGGTCGTCTTTCTGATAAAAGTTGTGTTAAGTTGGCAACCAATATAGACCAAGTTCTATTGGAGAACAAGTCATCGATACTCGTTTGTGTAAGTTATTTCATCAGAAAGAACTATCTTTTTCTTCATATAATGCGCTTGGGTTTTTTTTCCTCCATATAAATGAGTGCGCACGTGCCGCTCCTCCACTCCGGCTGTGAACGTGGCTACCTACTACTACGATGCACTACATCGCAGCACGCGCGACTCACAGCCTAAGGAGCTTTGCCCCTAAAAGTCGGCTACATTGTAAAAGTATTCAATGAAAATGTTTACAGTGTTTTCATCGCGTAAGACACCCTGACTCGTGTAAGACATCCTGAGCACGCAGTCGAAAGACAATCTCTGAAGTGCCTCACAGATGACCTAGACTGCCCACCCACTTTGGTAGAGAAGCTTTTAGTTGTTAGATAACGTCTAGATCACGCCCAACGTAGCTTTAAAAAACCTGCGACACTTTTTGGACAGCTTTATTTTGCACAAGAACGCGTGAAGCAATGATTACTGAGACGAATGCAACAACAATGATGAAAATTGGTTAACGAAAAGTGAAGTTGTCAGTCCTCAAAGTTCAAAAATTGAGCAGACGACGACAAGAAACGTTCTCATTCGCATTTTGATCGCCTGCATTCTGACGTCAAAAACTACTTCCGATCACAGAGCGCGCTTCATAAATACATTCCAGAAATGTCCTCTCATTGTGGCCCTCACAAAAATGTCCCTACTGCTCTTTTTCACGGCTTCTTTATCAAGGTTACTACGAGCCACGTTCGTCGGGTAACAGACGCTCGCACGGTGACACTGTGTTAGATACGCGCATACGCTTTGGGCGGTGTCACTTCTCGGCTTGCGTTCCTTGCTAACAAGAATGATTTTTTCTGAGATAGCATAAAAACGTTATGCTGTTTTCAGCATCCACTCGTATGGCCCAGCTACCACCAATGAATATTGCATGCCATTTCTCGCATCTAGCCATTCAAAAGTGAACGGTGTTAGTCGTCACGTCACTTGACATGAAGCACTTCCTATAACAAAAATAGCTGATGTGTGTCGCCGTATTCTGCAATCGAAGTAGTTTGTCTACATAAATAAATATATAACACCGTCAGTTTCGGCATTGCCAAGTGCGCAACGGTATTAGCGCGTTCTACAGCACCAGAAGAACCGAACAAAAATACAAGTTGTAAATTTGTCGCAGGGCCCTCTAAAGGGTTTGCTCGCTTTTCAAGGCAAGACACTTTTAGATTCCCGTCTTAGTGAACCTGATAATGTAGCTAATGTAGAGAGTTTTGTGCGTGTCACACACCGAACGGAACAGTGTGTGCGTGGTTCATTGCGCTATATCACAACCACCCCTCATCATGCCCTCCCAATTTTCTTTCTTTTCTCTTTACCCCCGGGAGAAGTAGCAGTCTAGGAATCCACTTTCTAGGCCTACTTCTCTTTCTAGGGGCAGAGCTCCTTAAAGCGGCACCCGTTCGTCCCTCATAGTCGTAGTCGTAGTCGTAGTGTGTAACCAGTGTTACATTTTGTCCTGCAAGGTCTTGCCGGTGGGTAACTTATCCTGTGCTTTGTTGAACAATAAAAAGTTCACGGCGTGCGCGTTAAATAAAAGCCGAATGCTCCTGTCTCTCATTCTCCATTAGCAGCCAAGTGCATGTACATTGACACAATCTGACAAGAAAGGTTTGCTACGTTGTACTCGCTAGGTGTAACCTCCTTAGTTTTAGAAAGGTTTAGCAAGTGTTGAGCTGCAGTGCCAAGATTACAATGAACTAGTATATAACATGAACTCGAGGTGGTTAAAGGTGGGAAGTGCATACGAAGCGCAAGCCATAAGAAAGTAAAAGCGAAATTCTCCTGTCTCTCGTTTGCCATTAGCAGCCATAGGCATGTACATTGAGCACCATCTGTCAGGAAAAAGTTGCTACGTTATACTCGCTGGGCGTAACCTTCTTGATTTTAGAAAGGTTTAGAGAGCGCTGAGCTGCAGTGCTATGAATACAGTGAACTGGTCTATACAAAGAACTCAATGTGGTTAAAGTGGGAAGTAGACCCGAACCGCAAGCCGTAAGAAAGTATGCGTGTGCCACCTCTCGTTTAGTTTTTGGAATGTCCACTGCATGGCAGTGCTTCTATATGGGCAGTGCTCGGTGATATGGGATAGACATCATTTGAGGGCAGGGAAGCTAGCAGCAAGATAAAATTTGAGAAGCAATTAAGAGAAATGGGGGAGAAGCGTTGTGCTAGGAAGGTTTTCAGCTACTTTTACGTGAAGAATATCGATACAAAATGGAGGAAGTGAACCGGAAAATTGACTGGTAAATACTTACAAAACAACAGGTGGCCAAACTAAAAAGAACTATCGGTTAAGAAGAAAGTGAAGAAAACGGAGACTGACATGTGGAGAATGGGCATGACTAAAAAGTCCGCACTAGAGATCTATCAAACTTTTAAGCAGGAAATTGCCAAGGAAAGAATCTATGATAATACTCGGGGTATTTCTCTATTGTTTGAGGCCAGGATGGGAGTACTGCGAACCAAGACATGTCGGGCCAAACACGAAGGGGTAGACACAGTCTGCAGTGCGTGTAGAGAGGAAGAAAAAACTGCCGAACACTTGATAATGTTCTGTAAAGGGCTTCACCCTATAGTTCAGGATGATGGCGCAGAGTTTTTCAAAGCACTGAGGTTCAGGGACCGGGAGGGCAAAATAGACTTTAAGTGGGTAGACTTAATTAGAAGGAGGTTATCTGATTGGTGGCTGAAGTCAAGACACGAGTGAAAATTAGACCCTTCACTGCAAAGTACGAATCCTCAAACTCACTTTTTAAAGAAAAAAATAAATTAGTTCTTGCTTCATTAAGTATTACGGCTTGGTGGTGCTAGCCACCACCTGATCTAAAGGGTACAGCCATATCCATCCATCCATTCATTGAATATATAATGAAAAGATGCGAGATGGTGGTACTTAGAGTGTTGAATAGATGGACGAACGGACAAACAGACAGATGCATGGATGGATGCATGAACAGACGCAGGGGCGGATGGATGAATGAACGAAGGGACGGACGCACAAACAGACGCACGCACGGAAGGGCGGATGGACGCTTGGACGATCACACAGACGGACTCATGGACGGACGGAAGCAAGGACGAATGGTTGGGCGATTGCTTCGCCCCACTCTTCATCATTCAATCCGTGGATATGCTGCCAATTTTTTCTTGTTATAAACATCTTTTCTTCTTCTTATTCTTGGGCGATAAACAAAAATCTTGCGGCTGGCTTAAACAGCTCACTTCTAATATAGTAATAATGATGATTATAATATTATATTTAATAATTAATATTCCATGAATTATTTATTTAACGTGTCCAGGAACAACCGTAATGTCTTTGTGCAAGGGCACAGAGATATAAACCAATAAAAAGAAACAATACAATTCAGTCTGCAAAAAATTATGCAGGATTGAAAAACGCATAGACTAGAAAACATTAGCGGAAATCGGGAAGAATAAAAGACAAAAAGAGAAAGATAGACCACCAGTGAAAACTAAATGGCAATATACAAAATTATGTGGAAGGCTTCCCAGAGACAAAAGAGAAGAATATGTACATTACTAGAACTGGTTTTGTAAATGATAATAATATTAATAATAACAATAATAATATCATAATAATAATAATAATAATAATAATATAGTGAGAAACACGTTCTTACTCACGCAACAGAATAAATCATCCTGACGAAGCGTTCTTCACTATATTCGACACCTTTAGGGGCACCCGTTGTGCCCGTAGTCCACTTCACGAATGTGCAGTCTCCCGAGTCAAACGTTTCGTCATCATCCAGTAACTCATTCTTTTGGCTGAATTCAGAAACGTCCTTGAAGCCAGATCTTTTCTCACCTACAACAAATGCCTTCTGGCAGGAAATTAAAATAACAGACGTAAATCTGGGGGAAGAGCAAAGTGACAGAAAGTATATATAAACACATTTGCTTTGGAACAAGTCATCATCCTCATCATCAGCCTGACTACGTCCACTGCAGGACAAAGTCCTCTCCCAATCTCCGCCAGTTAGCCTGGTCCTGTGCTTGCTGCTGCCAATTTATACCCGCAAACTCCTTAATCTCATCTACCAACCTAACCTTCTGTCTTTCCCTAACCCGCTTGCCTTCTCTGGGAATCAAGTCAGTTACGCCTAATGACCAGTGGTTATCCTGTCTACGCGCTACATGCCCGGCCCATGTCCATTTCCTCTTCTTGATTTCAGCTATGATATCCTTAACCCCTGTTTGTTACCCAATCCACTCTGCTCTCTTCTTGTCTCTTAAGGTTAAACCTACCATTTTTCTTTCCATTGCTTGCTGCGTTGTCCTCAGTTTAAGCTGAACCCTCTTTGCAAGTCTCCAGGTTTTTGCTCCGTAGCTAAGTACCGGCAAGAGACAGTTGTTATATACGTTCCCTTTGGGGGATAGTGGCAATCTACCTGTCATAATTTGAGAGTGCTTGCCAAATGTGCTCCACCCCATTCCTATTCTTCTAGTTACTTCAATCCCGTGGTTTCACTCCGCGGTTATTACCGGCCCCAAGTAGACAGTCTTTTACAACTTGAAGTGCACTATCAGCTATCTCGAAGCGCTGCTCTTTTCCGAGGTTGTTGTACATTACTTTCGTTTTCTGCAGATTAATTTTAAGACCCACTCTTCTGCTCTCCTTGTCTAACTCCGTAATAATGAGTTTCAATTCGTCCCCTGAGTTACTCAGCAATGCAATGTCATCGGCGAAGCGCCAAATACCAAGGTACTCTCCATTGACTCTAATCCCTAACTGTTCTCATTCTAGGCTTCTGAAAACCTCCTGTAAGCACGCGGTAAATAGCATTGGGGAGTGTCCCCCTGCCTGACACCCTGCTTGATTGGTATTCTGTTGCTTTCTTTATGAAGCACTGTGGTAGCAGTTGATCCCCTGTAGATTTCTTCCAGATTGTTTATATATACTTCATCGACGCCCTGATTCCCCAGTGTCTGCATGACGGCTGATAATTTTACTGAATCAAACGCGTTCTCGTAATCTATGAAGGCTATGTATTGTGGTTGGTAATATTAGAACAAGTAAAATGTGGCAAAAGGGGACCTTCAACAATTTTTCGAACGTCATTGATTTAATTAAAGTTTGAACATGTGTTGCGTTTTGTACCGTACTTATCAAATGGAAATCATGCAACCACAATTAGCCAATTCTCTTATCATACCTGTGAATAGAGGTCCCAATATTACTGTGACGCAGCGTCACTCTGCATACGGGTGCAGCACGTGGTTTCTTGTACGAGGTAACAATGACGCAAGCATTGCACAGCTTTGTCAGTTTCATACCGTGTGATAATTTCTTTATATGTCAAAAATATACGAAGCTGGTCTAACTTGGACACAGCATTCCACGTTAGTCTTCGTTGACATTGAGTCATGCAGACAGCACGCATATTATTTCGCAAAGAGGATATCGATGCGGCGCACTTTACGCACTGGTAGGTTGCTATCAAAAGGTAATCCTCTCGCCCTCAGATAAAAGCTGCAATCATCGCTGAAGCTCTTAGTCACAAGTTCAAATGTGGTCGCACAGCTTGATTTCAAGTCAAAATACATCGCCTATTTTCTTCTCGCGCAATAAAAGAAGCACCTGTGCTACGTTTACACATTGGCCAGTCATGGTGACGCGTACCGTATTCAGAGAGTCGATCGCATAACCAGAACGGTGTACCTCCCTGTGTAATTTGATGACATATGTGTATGGTTCAACGTCACAAAACCACCGTATGAGTATCAGAGACGCCGTAGTGAAGGGCTTCCAAAATTTCGACCACCTGGGGTTCTTTAACATGCACCAAAACCTGAGCACATGGGCCTACAACATTTCCGCCTCTATCAAAACTGCTGCTACCGAGCACGAGATTCGGTCTCGCGACGCCCGAGTCAGCAGCCGAAAACCTTAGCCACTAGACCACGGTGGTGGGGCAATCCTTGTTTTGGTTTCTGTTTTGCCTCATGTGTTATTCCTCATTTAACATAATTGATGAGACTCACAGTAAAAGAAGCCACTGTAGCATTTGCAGGATTGTTGAAACTATTGAAAACATGTATTCGCTCAAAATGCGCGAGATCACCGAAGATTCATTTTAAGGGCACCTGGTGGGCCTCATAGATCCTATGCATTTTTGGTCAGTCTTACTAAAATGCAGGCATGTACAGGGCATCCAGCCGGTATGAGAGCTGGCTAACCTCTCTTTACTTCCTCCTTCTTTCCTCCTCCTCCCTGGTCACACCGAGGGAACGTTTTATCAGTGCCAACTACACAGTCTTTTACAACTTGAAGTGCACTATCAGCTATCTCGAAGCGCTGCTCTTTTCCGAGGTTGTTGTACATTACTTTCGTTTTCTGCAAATTAATTTTAAGACCCACTCTTCTGCTCTCCTTGTCTAACTCCGTAATAATGAGTTGCAATTCGTCCCCTGAGTTACTCAGCAATGCAATGTCATCGGCGAAGCCCCAAATACCAAGGTACTCTCCATTGACTCTAGTCCCTAACTGTTCCCATTCCAGGCTTCTGAAAACCTCCTGTAAGCACGCGGTAAATAGCATTGGGGAGTGTCCCCCTGCCTGACACCCTGCTTGATTGGTATTCTGTTGCTTTCTTTATGAAGCACTATGGTAGCAGTTGATCCCCTGCAGATTTCTTCCAGGATGTTTATATATACTTCATCGACGCCCTGATTCCCCAGTGTCTGCATGACGGGTGATATTTTTACTGAATCAAACGCGTTCTCGTAATCTATGAAGGCTATGTATTGTGGTTGGTAATATTAGAACAAGTAAAATGTGGCAAAAGGGGACCTTCAACAATTTTTCGAACGTCATTGATTTAATTAAAGTTTGAACATGTGTTTGCGTTTTGTACCGTACTTATCAAATGGAATCATGCAACCACAATTAGCCATTCTCGTATCATACCTGTGAATAGAGGTCCCCAATATTACTGTGACGCAGCGTCACTCTGCATACGGGTGCAGCACGTGGTTTCTTGTACGAGGGAACAATGACGCAAGCATGGCACAGCTGTGGTCAGTTTCATACCGTGTGATAATTTCTTTATATGTCAAAAATATACGAAGCTGGTCTAACTTGGACACAGCATTCCACGTTAGTCTTCGTTGACATTGAGTCATGCAGACAGCACGCATATTATTTCGCAAAGAGGATATCGATGCGGCGCACTTTACGCACTGGTAGGTTGCTATCAAAAGGTAATCCTCTCGCCCTCAGATAAAAGCTGCAATCATCGCTGAAGCTCTTAGTCACAAGTTCAAATGTGGTCGCACAGCTTGATTTCAAGTCAAAATACATCGCCCTATTTCTTCTCGCGCAATAAAAGAAGCACCTGTGCTACGTTTACACATTGGCCAGTCATGGTGACGCGTACCGTATTCAGAGAGTCGATCGCATAACCAGAACGGTGTACCTCCCTGTGTAATTTGATGACATATGTGTATGGTTCAACGTCACAAAACCACCGTATGAGTATCAGAGACGCCGTAGTGAAGCGCTTCTAAAATTTCGACCACCTGGGGTTCTTTAACATGCACCAAAACCTGAGCACATGGGCCTAGAACATTTCCGCCTGTATCAAAACTGCTGCTACCGAGCACGAGATTCGGTCTCGCGACGCCCGAGTCAGCAGCCGAAAACCTTAGCCACTAGACCACGGTGGTGGGGCAATCCTTGTTTGGTTTCTGTTTTGCCTCATGTGTTATTCCTCATTTAACATAATTGATGAGACTCACAGTAAAAGAAGCCACTGTAGCATTTGCAGGATTGTTGAAACTATTGAAAACATGTATTCGCTCAAAATGCGCGAGATCACCGAAGATTCATTTTAAGGGCACCTGGTGGGCCTCATAGATCCTATGCATTTTTGGTCAGTCTTACTAAAAATGCAGGCATGTACAGGGCATCCAGCCGGTATGAGAGCTGGCTAACCTCTCTTTACTTCCTCCTTCTTTCCTCCTCCTCCCTGGTCACACCGAGGGAACGTTTTATCAGTGCCAACTACAGCACCCGCTGGGTTCCCTACAAACGGAACAACCAGGTTGTACCTCTTCACGATGTCTTGGCACGTCTAAACATTTGATCCCCTGCAACTTTGCACCTGCCATAACCTTCGCAGTTCCTACACGGAAATTTACTAAACCAGTGCGGTACCTTCACATACGCAGAATTTCTTCCAATTTATACAAAGCAGCTGCTGCTGTTGGCGTAAAACCTAATTAGAGTACCCTAGAGTTCTTCAATGGAATTGCCGTTTCATGCTTTTTGCTATCACAAATGTCTTACACATTATTACGTGGCAGTTTCCGGACGCCATTGCATGAGGGTAAGCTTGATTATCATCAGACGCAGTATTACATTTACAAAATTCAAAATATTTTTGTAGTGATACATGAGAGGCTGGAATAGCATTTTGTATGTCACCCAATTGTTTCATACAGCGAACATTGTTTTCTGTACAATACCATGTCATTACGTAGTTTTAGTAGTGCAACTTGTACTTTCAGGCTGTGCGCCCTTTATTTTTGTGAACAACTACTTTCCGACTGGCGTAAAAAACTATAATAATCTGGACTTCTTTTATAGTTTCTGCAAACCTGCAACACCTGTGATTTGAATCTACATCATAGAACGTGCGTATTCCGTATAGTCACATAAGGTGAACTTTTGTAGAACTGTAGTATTAAGAATGGCCATATATTTATAAGTTCGGAAGTAGCTACATTCATTCGAGGTAATGCGAGATCTATGTTAGACTTGTCATTCTCTATCCAAAGTCTTCTAATCTCTTCTTGAGTGGTGGTTGATACTCCGACTATT